ACACTCGTCAGTTGTTTTTTTTTTTTTAGAGATAAACCGCGAAAACCCAGGAAAATTAAAAAGGTGGTTCCACAGGTTGGTGTCCCCTCCCCGCTTACGTTAAATTTCTACATTTCGAAACCTCTTAAATGCCAGATGGAGTCTCCATCATCTCATAAGCTGATGGTTGCTCGAAAATGCCGTACAACAATGGAATTGATGACCCCTGGTCTAAAGTAAACGGTTATCTCTCCGAATCTGCTCACTTCTTCACTGCAATCCACAGAAACCATTTTCACCGCCTGGGCAAAAGAGGTTATGCCACATATGCGTATTTGACAGTGAACAATCCAAATATCCTCGGCGTAACCTACGACAGCCTGCCCTCTTTCTTGTCGCATACAATTGCCAACAAAATATACAACCCCAACAAAGTTCTCAATTCTTTCGCCGTCAGCACTTGGGGCAAAGACAAAGAAAAGAACATGCAAGGCCCGTGTGTTTGCCGTGGACAAGTAGGACGCAGTGGACGAAGCTACCGACATGCTATAACACAGCACTACGGGCATTCACGACTTGCCTTATGATGTTGTCAGAACACCACCTACATAGTGAGGCCCAAATGTTCAACATCACGCTCAGCAAGCGGTTCCTTGTTGGGTGCTGCAGACGTGAGCTCTCGAACAGACAATTGCCCGAGGCGGCACTTCAGAAGGTATCTCTGCGGACGGAAAAACAAGATCCAATAATACGTACCACTGGACCCGGCACAGTACAGACTGGCAATCAACGGCATTCAGCCACCTGCACTAACTCCCGTCCGGTGAATGTCGTAATAGGCGTCCAATCACCACCTGTGGACCAAAGTGAGCTTACCGATAGGGACCCGCGTAACTCTGTGCCAATTGTGATCTGGATATTGTACCAGGCTAAACCGCTATTTGTCCAGACTACACCCGGACATACTCAGCGTATGTGGCATGTGAAAGCTCCCCCCACGACACCAACAATTTTTCACATGCCCACTCAACCTGACCCAACTAACAGTCCTCTCGCTCTCGTCCAACCTCGTCGATACAGCCACCAGTCTTGGGCCTACCGTGAGTTGAGCTTGACGACAAAGATTGAAAGACTATCGGATCCAACCACACAGCATAGGTTTCAATGAAAAGTTTAAAGCAATGATGTTTCGGCTTTTACCCGCAGTGCGTCAGTGTAGAATATATAGAAAGATTAACAACGCTTGACATGCGAGCAAGAAACTCCTGCAGATCAGTAATGCTCAAAACAGCGCCCGCAAAGCTCTCTTTAGTGCTTAGTGCTGTTGGAATTTATGAATTTTTAACACGTTAAAAACCCGCTCATTCTTCGACAGTATACTTTCCAAAGTGTATATGTATACAGGGTGTCGTAGACCAAACGTCCACCCCTCTAAAATAGTGGGTTATGTTTTTTATTGAAAACTTCAAAAATTTGACCTACTAAGTCGGGGATGCTTTATCTTTTTGCGGTATTACCGACTTCCGGTTTCGACCGGTAGTTGGTTTAACTGACCGGAAGTAAATTTTTTACGTTTTTACTATAAATTCGGATTCTGCGCATAAAAATACACACCTTTTGTCGGGAAATTTTTTTCCGGTTTGGACTGAAAGTCCATTTTTTTAATTACACATGTATGTTTTTACTACAGATACGGATTTTTTGGAAAAAATACGCAACCTTTGTTTGAATCTTTTTTCTCGGAAGTGCCGTTTTAATTTCTAAATGACAGGAGTCCAACGCGAGTTAAAGTTCGTAGGTCATTTAGAGGTTAAAAAATGCGTTTCAAGAAAAAAGATTCAAATAAAAGTTACGTATTTTTGTCACAAAATTCGAATCTGTAGTAACAATATACATGTGTAATTAAAAAAAAAGTAAGTGCGCCTGGGCCGCTGTGGTGTAGTGGTGAGCAGTGCGCGCTTCCACTCCGCAGCACCTGGGTTCAAACCCTGGTCAAAGCAACATCGCAAAGAATATAGAAAAAAGGTTTTTTCTTAACAGCGGTCGTCCCTCGGCAGGCAATGGCAAACCTCCGAGTGTATTTCTGCCATGAAAAACAGCTTCTCATAAAAATACAATCGCCGTTCGGAGTCGGCGTAAAACTGTAGGTCCCTCCGCCTTGTGTGACAACATCAAGGCGCACGCCACAAATCGGAGAAGAAGCTCGGCCAAACACTAACATATGTGTAAGCGCCAATCTATTATTATTATTATATTAAGTGGGCCTGGGCCACACTGGAGAAGTGAAACTTACGGTACATATGTATCTATTTTGCCTCATAACCAATATACATACATACATTTGTACATACATATGTACATACATTCATATGCTTTTGCTTAAGGTTATAGTTTTTGTCATTTCTCTATCTAGATCCCTACCTCTACCCCCATTCGTTCTAAATACATTTATGTTATTCTGTTTTCCTTTATCTTCATTTCATCTTTATACTCTATCGATAACAAAATCGATAGTAAAATCCAACAAAATATCGATGACAAATTCGACAAAAATTTCGCTAGCAAAATAGATAATATTGATAACAAAATCGATTAGAAAATCGATAACAAAATCAATAAAAATATCGATACTAAAATCGATAAATAATCGATAACAAAATTGATTAGAAAATCGATAAAAATACTGATAAAAAATCTAACAAAATCGATAAAAATAATTACAAAGTCGATAAATAATCGATAAATAATTGCTAACAAAATCGATAAATAATTGCTAACAAAATCGATAAATAATCGATAACAAAATAAATAAATAATTGCTAACAAAATCGATAACAAAATCGATGAATAATCTGTAACAAAATCGATGACAAATTCGATAAAATTTTCAATAGCAAAATCGATAATAATCTTGGTCGTAAGATCGATTAGAAAATGGATAAAAATCTCGATTACAAAAAACGATTAGACAATCAAAACATATCGATAACGAAATCTATAAAAATATCGATAACAAAATCGATAAATAATCGATAACCGAATCGATGACAATATCGATAAATAATCGATAACAAACCCGATTAATAATCGATAGTAAAATCGATAACAAAATCGATAAATAATAGATAACAAAATCGATAAATAATCGATAAAAATATCGATAACAAAATCGATAATAACATTGATAGCAAAATTGATAGCAAAATCGATAACAAAATCGATAAAAATATTGATAACAATATGGATAAAAAATATAGATGAGAAAATCGTTGAAAATGTCGATTACAAAGTCGATAAAAATATCGATTATCATATAGATATGTTCCGAAAATATCGAAAGCAAAATCGATAACAATATCGATACAAATTTCGAAAAAAATCGATACAAATTTTGATAACAAATTCGATAAATAATTGATAACCGAATCGACGACAAAATGTGTAAATGATCGATAACAAAATCGGTAAATAATCGATAACAAAATTGATAAATAATCGATAACAATATCTATAAAAAATCAATTAAAATATCGATAACAATATGGATAAAAAATATAGATAAGAAAATCGTTAAAAATACCGATTACAAAGTCGATAAAAATTTCGATTATTATATCGATAAGTTCCGAAAATATCGATAGCAAAATTGATAACAACATCCATACAAATTTCGATAACAAAACCGATAAAAATATCGATTATTATATCGATAAGTCCCGGGAATCCCGGAAATCCCAAAATAGTTCCCAGATTGAGTCTGTGTGTCTCTATCTATATCCTTTTCTCTATAATTATCTTTATTTTAATCTTTCTTCCTCTATCTTCATCTTTACATTTATCGGTATCCTCATCCTGATCTTTTTCTTAATATTTAACTTTGTTTTTACTTTTGTATTTATAATTTTCTTCATCTACATACCTTTGCCCTTATAAAAGTAAAGAGTTTATATTTACCTTGGACTTCACTTTTGCCTTTATCTTTACGCATCTTTGTTTCTGTTTTTATTTTTACCTTTGCATACATCCTTTTCTTTATCTATGTACATACTCACCCTTACTTTCATTCGTGTATTGGTTTTTTTTAAGTGTTGTTCCTTAACCTTTTATTAGCAAGTTTTTGTAAAATTAATACCACGTGCATATACTCAAGAAGCACTTGCTTCAGCCCCAACCATTTCCGTTGCAGCATTTCCGTTGCACCATTTCCGTGTGCAATTTCCGTTGAATTTGCCAATTTACTCCCTACCAACCAACCGCCGCTAAAGAAGTTTCCCTTCAAAAATGGACTTCCAGTCCAAAACAATTTTCCGACAAAAGGTGAGTATTTTTATGCTCAGCATCCGAATCCCCGACTTGGTAATTCATATTTTTTCGTTTTCCACATTTCACCCAGTTAGGAAGTCCACGACGAGTTGAAGCTTGAAGGTCATTTAAAGGTTAAACAGGGCAGTTCTGAGAAAAAAGTTGCAAACAAAAGTTTCAAATTCTTATCCTTAGAATTCGAGTCTGTAGTAAAACCATATATGTATATATAGTTTGAAAAAATGGACTTCCGGTCAGTTTAACCCACTACCGGTTTTCAATAAAAACATTTCCCTGCATTTTATAGGGGGTGGACGGGTGGTCTAGGACACCCTGTATATCCGAGCTCCAAAAATGATTTGGATACACAAAGTATTAATCTTTTTCATACCACTTTTACCACTTTTTTAAGGCCACTTTTGAGCACGCAATAATTTCTTCCTCTTGCTCTTCCAGAAATCTAAAGCTCAGACTGTTAATAAAGGTACTGAACCTAAAGTACTCAAATCCGCCGCCAAAGAAGCGCTTGCAATACGCTACACTGCCCCGAAGTAAGCAGAAGAAGAAAAAGACAAAATCGCTCAGTCCAATATCTTATATTCAATAGTTTAATAGGACACTCATGTCATTTTGTAACAATTAAGATCAAATTAACTAAGTGGAACATTAATAAAATTTGTACAGCACAACAATCGTAATTCTAATATTTTTCCTACATTTTAGCTATGGCGTTGGACGTTGGAAGCTGTGGTGGCGTTGGTGTTGCGTGTACTACGCTCCGCGACCGTTAAGCCCAAGTTGTGGTGGGTAGCCGTGACAGCCAACATCGACATTGGCGTCTTCTTGCAAACATAAACACTGGCGGACGCTGACTTAGTGCTGTTAGCGGTTGCGGTTAAACGATTATTATGATGGCGCCTAGAGCGACGCCAGGTTACAAGACTACGCCCCACAGTGCTTATGTTTGCGGAATTGCAACCTTTCTGTGTAACTTGCGCTGCATCGGTAGTACTCGCCGCCTCCGCCGCTGCCGCCGCTGCCTTCGTTTGTCTGCCCAACAAAGACTTGAGTGACTTCTCGCTTACAGCTGCGGTGTGCAACTCACTCGCCGTCACACTTCGACTGCGCGCCGGTGGTTTTGTGGCTTGTAGCAGCCCTTGTTGTTGCATTGTCAAACGCTGCTGTTGACCTTTCATTCTACGTAATATATCAATAATGTTATCGGCGCTTTTGCTTTTGATTGCGTGCAACGTAAGGCTTTCATCGGGTGTTTGATTATTTGAAAATGGCGTGTGAACTTTGACCTCCGCAGCCTGTGGTATGCCGCATTTTTTAATAATGAACTTGAAGTTTTTATCAACTTCATTGGTTGCCCCGCTGATGTTAGCAGTTGCGCTGCCGCTGCTTAGCCGCGGCCCACAACTGCGATGTCGCTTGATAAGCGGCACCGCCGACGCCTGCTGTTGATCCTTCGCACCTCTAGGTGGCATTGTGTTAGCTTTGTTTGAGAGATTTGTGAAGGATTTGCGCCGTGTGCCGATTTGTGAGCGCGGCGTTTTCAGCAGATTCGGACAGATCATTACTTGCGCCTGCGGAGTCGTATGATATTTACGGCGTGCATTCTGCACCATTTGCATTGGCGTGGGCGAGGAGTGTATGATGGCACCCGAAGTGGTAAGACCACTACCAATACCACCGCTTATGCTGCTGCGACTGCTATTGCCTGCCTCCATAATGTATTTCTCCACATATTCCGTGGCATTGAAGGTGGGCATTGCTTTGTGTACATTCGAGATGGCTGGTGTGATAGTGGCACGATGGCGATACGCATGACCGTTTAGGGCGGGACGGTCACGTTGCTGTGTCTGATGATGATGATGATGATGATGGTGATGGTGTGGCAGTTTGGTAACGATTTGTTTGCCCTTAACGAACAGGTTGAGCCCCATGTAGGCGGGTGTAGGCGGCACGACTTGGCGATAGATCAGTTCAAAGTTTCCCATATCAGATTTTGGATCCAATCGACGATCGATGACTACTGCAAAGAGAAGACAAGGCATAATTGAGTTTGGGCGAGCTAATGTGGAGTTATTGAAGGCGTTGGAATTTGGTGGTTAAAGTAAGTAAATATTTCACTTGTAACATAAACTCCTTTAAAAGTAGCGGTACAAAACTAAGCGGTAGTAGTCTTTCGCAAGACAATTGCCAAATCTTCCAACTATCTTGAAAGCTCTTTTCTACTATTCGAAAGAATATTTAATTTAAAGATCTGCTAACGAGGAGGTCGTTCCGTTGTTCTGTTGGTCCTTTTTAATAAGTTTTCAAAGTGAGATTCTTCAACATCTCGCTCATCTGCGCCCATACCCCGACGGAAGAGAAGGATCAGGTATTCAAGGATTTATTCTATGAGCGTTTGGAGCGCACGTACGAGCGCTGCCTCCGCCACAATATTAATGCCATGGTGGGCAAGGATTGGATCTTTGCAACCACCGTCGGAAAATACAGCCTCCACGACGAAACGTCCGCTAACGAACTGAGGCTGATCGACTTCCCCGGGGCCCGAAACATGGTAGTATGCAGTTCTAGGTTCAAGCATAAAAAGATTCATGAAGCTACGTGGCTGTCTCCGGATCGAAAAACGAGAAACCAAATCGATCACGTTGTGATAGACGGAAGGCATGCTTCCCGTGTTTTCAACGTACCTACACTCCGAGGCCCAAACATCGACTCGGACCACTATCTTGTTGCAGCCAAGATACGCAACCGCCTCTGTACAGCAAAAAATGTGCGCCCAAATGCTTATCGTCGAAAAGCTGCAATCATAATCAATGCATTCGCAATAAGAAGAGAGAGGCCGAAATACGTGAGTGCGAAGAGGTTGAAATGCTGGCCGACACGAGGAATGCCCGAAAATTTTACCAGAGAGTTAGGCAACTTACGGAAGGTTTGAAGACCAGAAATCAAAAAAAGAAAAAAAAAATATTGTTAAAAAATGAGGGGACAAATTTAAGTTTCTAAAAGATAAATGAATTAAGGAAAAGGTAACACAATAAAATCTAAAAATTAAAAGAGAATTAACTTGAAAAAAAATAATAATTAAAACAATGTGACGGAAAGCACTAATTCATGCTCTAAATCAGCGATTCCCAAAGTGGTCCACGTGAACCCCCAGGGGTCCACGGAAGACTCGACGGGGGTCCACGGTGACGTGAACAAAATATGGGGGTCCATGAGTTGTAAATGGTTGTCCACGAAAATTTATCTGTTTTCGATGTAAAGAACCAAAATGATTGCTTGATAGCCTTTTTATTTAACTTTAATTGCCTTAGAGGCCACCTGCAGACTAAAAAGAACCGGACGCTAGTATGATAATAAGTGGGGCGCCGCAAAAATTGCTGGCGGCAGAGGCTTAAGCACTTGTGTCTTTTCAGTGCTACAGGATAGTACCATTACCTTTGCTGAAGAAATTCTATAATGTTGAGTTCCCTGAGACTGAATGCTAGTTTGATTCCAAAACTGACTCTGGTTCATGATCTGGGGTCTTTTTCGAGGTTAATGGAGATGAGATCCACTTTTCTGTAAGGGAATATGCTTCGGTCTTCCAGGCTGAGGTAGTTGCAATACTCAAATCCATGGACTACGTGGTAGAACATAGGTGGAGGTGAAGGAGTTTACGTGACCGCAGTGACAACCAAGCTGCACTTAAGGCATTATACCAGCCCTCTACTTAACTACTTCCAAACTAGTTCGGCAATGCAAGTCTTGATTAAAAAATGATGGTGAACATAACGAGGTTGTTTTACTCTGGGTGCCAGGTCACTCTGGAGTACCTGGTTATGAGACATCTGATCAATTGGTCAGAGTTGGCTCAGACCAAGCATTCCTCGGTCCGCACCGTCAGAAACTGAGTGAATACTTCGCTCAGAAATGCAGTCATTTCGCAGAGGCATCGAGGGGATGCAGGTGGACAAAACTCATGTTGCCTTCAATCTCACAAGGTCTTGGTTGAGTTTTTTTAACTCGTTCTTTTACCTATTGTCAATATCTGAAAAGTTTGGCGTAAAAAGCTTAGCCGTTTTGATGTTTTAAGTTTTGTGTTTTAAAAACGTGAAAAAATATTTTTCCCCTCATTTTAAAACTCGGAGCGATAAAAATAAAAATGATGCCATTAACACAAATAAACTATTTTACATATACTCCACGTGCAAAGTCATGAGTGAGCCGAACATTTGGTGAGTTTATGGTGAAGATAATGTAAATATAGCTAGCGCTCGCAGTGCTCTTAAAAAATATAACTTCCGAGCGAGAGAGTATTTTGATGTATTTGCGTGCTCTATTTTTTAAAACCTACAAGTGTGTAATCATATTATTTTTATAAATAGAACACAAGAAAATATTTTACTTTTATTTTGGCCACTCTGGGTTTACTTTTTGAATTCACCCGCGATGCAAATTTNATACCAGCCCTCTACTTAACTACTTCCAAACTAGTTCGGCAATGCAAGTCTTGATTAAAAAATGATGGTGAACATAACGAGGTTGTTTTACTCTGGGTGCCAGGTCACTCTGGAGTACCTGGTTATGAGACATCTGATCAATTGGTCAGAGTTGGCTCAGACCAAGCATTCCTCGGTCCGCACCGTCAGAAACTGAGTGAATACTTCGCTCAGAAATGCAGTCATTTCGCAGAGGCATCGAGGGGATGCAGGTGGACAAAACTCATGTTGCCTTCAATCTCACAAGGTCTTGGTTGAGTTTTTTTAACTCGTTCTTTTACCTATTGTCAATATCTGAAAAGTTTGGCGTAAAAAGCTTAGCCGTTTTGATGTTTTAAGTTTTGTGTTTTAAAAACGTGAAAAAATATTTTTCCCCTCATTTTAAAACTCGGAGCGATAAAAATAAAAATGATGCCATTAACACAAATAAACTATTTTACATATACTCCACGTGCAAAGTCATGAGTGAGCCGAACATTTGGTGAGTTTATGGTGAAGATAATGTAAATATAGCTAGCGCTCGCAGTGCTCTTAAAAAATATAACTTCCGAGCGAGAGAGTATTTTGATGTATTTGCGTGCTCTATTTTTTAAAACCTACAAGTGTGTAATCATATTATTTTTATAAATAGAACACAAGAAAATATTTTACTTTTATTTTGGCAACTCTGGGTTTACTTTTTGAATTCACCCGCGATGCAAATTTACATTGTTTGATCTAATTTTCACATTTAATTTTTTTACGAGCTTTGGGAATATTTAGAGATGTATCAGCAGGGGGTCCACCGAAACCATTAAATTTATGAAGGGGGTATACGAGAAAAAAAGTTTGGGAACCTCTGCTCTAAATGGAGATGCATATGATTTTGCTAGCACTGCTCGTCTTGTAAGCCATTCGAGAGAGTCCTCAAGCAGCTGATTTTTTTTTAAATAATATTTTTTGCTTTTTTTATTTCAGTTTTTTTTTTAAATTTGTAGATCTTATGGTTTTATAAAGAAGAAATGTATAATTTTTTTTTAAATTTATTACATTTTTAGAACCTTATTTTATGTATTTTTTCTCAATACAATATATATATATATATTTTTTAATTTTAAGTTTTTATTGTTTTAAAAAGAAAATTATGTATCTATAGGGGATTCAAAAGATGTTAAGAGTCGTAATGTGGAGAAACAACTACAGTTTTTAAATGGTAAAAGTTATAGCTACAATTTTGGAGATCACCACATCTCCTCACCAGACTTCTTCAATAAAAAGCTCAATAAAATTGTTGAATATGATTTGTTACAAGGCCAGTAAAGAGCAAAAAAATACATATTTTCTATAAGTTTGAAAACATTTTGGTCTAGTTGAAAATTTCCTAAAACCTGTTTAACCGTTATTTTGCATAGAAATAAAAAAATTGTAAGACCAAGATATTGCGTGTAACACGTCTTGTGAGTTATTTAATTTTTAGAAATTTATTTTTTTAAACACAAGTTTTTTATTATTTACTTTGCTGTTAATGTTTATTTTTTATTTTTAAAGAAGAAAAATATATTTCTTTATTTAAATTAATATTTTTATTTTGTTTACCTTTTCTTTTTTCTTAATAATTTTTTTTTTTTTTGTATTTAGCTTCCGCGTTTTGTGGCGTGAGCCTTGACTTTCGGCTAGAGCTTTCAATTAGTATTTTGAAAAACAGAAAAGAGCTTCCACGATACACTGAGAAAAGAGTCAGCTAAATATATTTCTCTCAACACAAGATTTGGTAACTATAATCCAATTATGTAACTATTATCAAATCATGTGTTAAGAGAGACATAACTAAACTCTTTTCTCAGTGTAGTTGTCAAAATTGACAACGAAAATGCTGTGGTGAGTTGAAAGACTGTAGTGAGTTGAAAGAAAATTGCCAGAATACTAGGTGCAATCGCGTATTAATCGAACTAAAACTAGTAAAACTGTCCAAAAATGAAAATTCGCTCAGAGCGAGAGAGCAACATTAAAAAGTACGGGATCGCTTTCTAGTAATAAATGGTAACTTCTATCAACTTCAACATAACCTCCAAATTTTGGTTGTATATTTTTGCTTATTTTATACGTAAACGCACTCAGGTCACACATATAAATAACCAATATTTTGAAATTGATTAGAATCGACTTAAACAAGTAATAAAATACTTTTCAACATGCATTAGCAGAGTACACTTTTCTTTTGTTTACAATTTGGTTGCCAAACACACTACAGCTGCTCGTTTGACACATTTACCAGAGCTTGCCAGCAAAAAATCTTCGGACTAAAACTGGTAATTTCTGACAGAGAGAGGACCATTTTTACTCTCTTTTTTGTCCTCTCAATAGTCAGAGAACCGAGTACGGGATCGATTTCTAGGAAAATGTGACCGATTTTGACTAGTCCGGACTCGTACGGGATCGCAACTATTAACAGTCATTAACATTAAAAGTACCAGTAGCAGTTTCTTCAGTTTATCTCTAAAAAACCAACCGCATAGCCATAGCGAAATCACTAATTCCTCTTACCTTTTATTACATCCTCCAGACATTGTGGACACATGCGCGCCGTCACACTGGTCGTTGCACCCAAATCGGGGCTTGAATTGATCTCGATCAACCACGGATAGAAATCCTCGCATATCATAAAATCTGCACCGAATAATTCGAATGTATTTGGACGACGATCCATATTTTCTTGCGATGCCAACATTGTGCCCACGATAGCCTTCTTCATACCCGGATAGATGCGCTCCTGCCACATATCATATTTGCCGATTTGACGCAAATACGCTTGAAATGAATAACAATCCCACATATTCTCTATGGGTAGGCGTTTATCCCGTTTACCATTATTGTACTTCTTTTGAATGGCATGATTAGTCAAATGTACCGATTCGTGATGATTACTCAGGCTATACTCCTGTGAGCTGAAACGCAAATAACTCTCTTTGTACATCCAAACGACAAGTGGTTGCACGTTGGTAATGAGAAACCACTGACGAATATCGAACTTGGTATGGTGTATGGTTAGAGGACGTTCTGCAAAGGAGAGCGGTAAGTTTTTTATTTTATTTATTTTTTTTGAGTTAATTAAAATCATATTCATAAAAGTTAACGAATGCAAAATATAAATTTGCATACATACATACATACATAGGCGTATGTAATGAGTGCGAGTGTGTGTATGCCTGCCGTTGTGTCTTGTGAATAGGTATTAGTGTTAAGAAAGTGCCAAGGACACTCGTTGGAAGGTTGGTTGTTCCGCTTTCTGCTGTTGAATTGTTGTCATTGTTGTATGCTTCTGCCTGGGCTGATTGTGAGTTGGCATTTGTTGAATGCTCACGCACGCAATTTTATGGTGTCATGGCAGGAAATTAGGCTTATTGCCAACCTGTTGAGGTCGTGCCATTAAAACTGAAAGTTCATTGATTTTGTGCGCCCGCCAACAAACGCTTAAACACTACCCCTAACAAATGTATTTACACACAAATACATGTTAATATGTAGATATGTAAGTGCATAGGTATGCCTGTATATTGTATTGTTTGTATCGTTGTTTGCAGCCGAACACGAATCGTGTTGTGTAGGGTCGGTAGCAATGATGTTAAGGGCTTATTGCGAGTTCTTTGTTAACTATTTTTAAACTTTCGTGCATACTTATATAGTTACATACTAGAGATGGGCACGGGAATAAATACTCAATACCGATCCCGTGCATTCCTAGTTGCAATTTTTAGGTTCCGAACCCGCCAATTCCGATGTTTTTTCAAATTTGTACCGCGAGCCCCGTGGTTCCCGTTATCTATCACCAAATAAAATTTACATGGCTTTCATCTTTATCCTTTGTACTAATATTACACCATGCGACAGCAAATTTTACACATAAAAAACTTTATATATTCGCGAAACCATGGGCTAAATATAGTAAAACTGTGTTTTTAGTTTTTCTCTTAGACATCAGGATTTTTTTTAAAAGAACTTTGAAACTTGCGAAATATGATTATTTCAAAAAATAATTTAAAAAAAAAACTCAGTGTACGGACGAGTAGGTATTGAGAATGTCCTTTTAACCTTTTGTCATTGCATATCCTTGAAACTTAACATCCTCGAATTTCGTCCTTCTAACTTCATTCGCTTAAAAAAAACACTACTAATTAAAAGACATTTTTAATACCTATTCTTACTTGGGAACCAAAATATTATATTTTTTTTTAATTCTACAGAATTTTCTCTTTCATTTGGTACCCATACTGTTTTTCTGCATTGAAATACATTTTTTAAATAATTTGTGAAGTTAATCATATCTTTGAAACTATAAAGTCCTTGAAATTATGACTTAATAGGAAAAATAGCATATTAAACAATATGGGTATCAAACGAAAGGGGCTCTTAAGCGATTAGTTTCGAAATAATTTGGAAAAGGGCTGCCATCAGTTCAAAAAGTTAAAATCAATTTAGTTAACAAAATAAATGAAATATTTGTATATGGTTATTAAACAAGAGATTTTCAAGAAATTTTTTCCTCTAAAATGATTTTAAAGAGGGTTGCCACCTGTATAGGAGTTCAAAGCCAACTGTCTCCAACTGTTTTAGAAACTCAAAATCAGTTAAATTATTCCGTTTAATAAAATATTTTAATATGTGTATCAAACGATAGAGGTATAAAAAAGTTCGATTTCGTAGATTGTTTTTAGAAGTGTTGCCACTTGTTTATAAAGTCAAAATCAATCTAATATTCAAGCTAAATTGAATATTTTGCATGGGTATCAAAATAGAGACATTTAAGATAACTCTGTTTCGAAAATATTTTTGCCGAAGATTGCCACCTGGATAGAAATTCGAAACAAATTTAACTAACAAGTTAATTGAAATAGTTCAATATGGCTGTCAAAAGAGAGAGGTGCAGGTGTTTTAACGTATTATTTTCGTTGTTATTTAATTTTGGTTATTTTTTTTATAAAAATATAGTTCATTCTTAAAAAAAAACCGCTTGAATTCAAGTTTCCAAATTTATGCAATATTAAAAAAAAAATTCAACAAACTTTCGTACAAATTTCGATCTTTTTCAAAAATTCTAAAAAATAAATCGTAGTTTTTAGCCATTTGAAACTGGTACTTTATTCTATTTACTAGAAATCAATGGGCTACAAAACTGCATATTCAGAATCTAATTAAAAAACTCGAAGTTTTTACGAGAATTTGTTGAATTATTTTTTTGCATGCAATTAGCATTTTTAAGGCAAAGGCACTCAATTGGTCCATTTGTACAGATTGGTATATTTTTATATACGGCTATTGGTACAAAACAAAAAAAGGACATTTTTCATTTTGTAGTCAAAAAAGTTTCTTAAAGGATTTTTCGGAAAAAATATTTCTGATGACAGAACAGTTTAAGCTTAAAAAATCTACACTGCCGGAACAAAGTATTGGCACAGCAAATTTTTCACAATATATGCAACAAATTTTTATTCTAATATTTTTCCGCCAATTTTGTATAAAAATATGGTCCATTCTACAACAAAAAACATAAAAATATAATTCCTAAATTTTGTGCAAAACTCGCGAAAATTCAGTGAATTTTCATGAAAATTTACAACTTTTTAATCAGATTTTTTAGAATTTTTTTGAGTATGCAGATTTGTCCCAGAGCCCAATCAATTTTGTTATAATAATGTGCAAGTTTTAAGTAGCTCGGAATTACCGTTGATTTTTGGTAATTTTTTTTTACGTAGTCTCTTCCATACAAAAATTTTTTTTCAAAAATACTTTATATGGAAAAAAATGCAAAACACCTTCAACAAAAAAAAATCCTCAAAAATCAACGTGATTTTTGACTAACTCCCAATTTGCATTTTTTTTTGCTAGAATTTAATGGGCTGCAAAACTGCATACTCATCTGATTAAAAAGTTGAAAATTTTTATGAAAATTTGCTGAATTTTCGCGAGTTTTGCACAAAGTTTAGGAATTATATTTTTATGTTTTTTGTTGTTGAATGAACCATATTTTTATACAAAATTGGCGGGAAAATATTAGAATAAAAATTGTTGCATATATTGCGACAAAAATTGCTGTGCCAATACTTTGTTCCGGCAGTGTACATAAAACTATAAAAAAATTGTATCAACGGAATCATAATAATGAGATTTTTGATGCTGTTTTTTTAACTTTTTTCAAAGATTTATTTAAGAAAAACTTGAAAACCTGCTCCAAAACATTACCGATATAGACTTATAAGCTATCACAGATATAATTTTCTCACCCTTTTTGTTTCTTTGCAAAAAAAAAAAAACTCAATCACGTCCCAATTTTTTTTTTATTCAATACCAACACATCTTAATTCAACATGGAATGACACTCGTTTATCTTACCTCCCTTTTTCATATTTTGAGTGAGTTTATTCGCAAAGAAATTAAAAGGGTGAGAAAATGATACCCCATAAGTCTAAATGGTAAGGTTTTGGCTGAGTTATTAAAGTTTTTCTTAAACCAGTCTTTGAAAAAAGTGCAAAAAACAGCATCAAAAATCTCATTATTATGATTCCGTAGAATTTTTTTTTATATTTTTATGAACACTTTTTAAGTTTAAAGTACTCAGTCATCTGAGGTAATTTTTTCAAAAAATATTAAAAAAAAAAAACTGTTTATTTGGTAGAAGTCTTAAAATATAATACATACATAGATTTTATAATTCCAGTGGAAAAACAGTACCGCTGTTTATATGGGCAGTGAATGCTGTCTACTGTACATAAGTTGGCTATGATTACTCGGCCGTGCTATCATAGTAGCACAATGCCGCTAAGTACATTTTAAAATTTTCAGGCAATAGCCTCATGCGATTATCGATTATATTTTTTGTTGTTTGTGTGAAATATTTTATTTTTAACAGTATTTTTCTTTTAATCAAAATATGTTCAAATAAAAGTGAAAAAAATAGGGCCCCCCCGGCCCTACGGCTAGGGCTACGGCCCTGTTCCTCCACATATCATATGCAAACTATCGCAATTTGTTTCTACTATATATGTACTTTATTTTTTGCATAAACAGTGAAAGTACTTTGCTGTATTGTTTTACCCTCCTTAGCGTCGTGTCTCACCTTCTAAAATTTTTGCATAAGTTGTGGCGCGTGCGTGTATTTTCGCCACAATAACCATATACATACATATTTGCTATTTTTAGTCCGCAATATTTCCATTACATTTGAGCATACCCTGACGCTATAAGTGTGCCCCTATCAAAAATAGCGTGCACTTATGTTGGAATAAAATTAAAGAGATAAATGGGAATTCATTTATGTATTTATTCAAACATTTTGTATGTACATATGTAGGTAGATTTTCAACATACATGTGTGCTCATTTTCTGCCTGTGCCCACGCTTGCCACTTACTTCTTTTTTGTGTATCAAAATGTAAAAAATGTACAAAAAGCTAAAAATTTAATTATTTTTTATAGTGTTTTCTGAACTATTTTATAAAGCTGAAGCAAACCTCCCTTAAGTTAAATTTCCTACAATAGCGACCAAATAGTGTTTTTCTTATTATTATTAAACTGAGTGGTTTTTATCAGGGAACGCAAATAATGAATACTTTTAAATTTCAATCTCATTCGAAGAGAAATGCTGCGTTCATAAGGAGTAAACCAACATAGACTCTTTGTTACTGGATATACCTTCAACGGCATTGCTTTTTGTTATTTTAAGTTTTATTTCAAGAACTATAATTAAATAATTAAATTAAACAATTATTTTTGGAGTTTTATTTCTTGCTTAGAAAATAAAACTTTTTTTGTATATTTCTTTGTCATGCAAATGCTAAAGATAGAGATAAATTTTAAGATACAGTTAAAGACAATGGTAATGGAAATAGCAATGGTAATGGCACTGATAATGTTAATGGTATTGGTAATGATAAAGGTAACTAAATCTGCAGATAACAGTTATTTTTGATCGAGAAAATAATAATCATAAAATAACGATTATTTTTTTATAAATAAAAAATAACCATAATTATTTATCAAAAATTAGAAATTAAAAACAAAAAACGATTCTTTTTTATCGAAAAAATAAAAATCTAAAATTAACGATTACCTTCTATCGAAAAAATAAAAATTTCAAAACGATTATTTTTGATCGAAAAAATAAAAATATTATTATTGATCAAAAAATAAAAATTCAAATAACGATTATTTTTGATCGAAAAAGTAAAAATCTAAAATCAACGATTACCTTCTATCGATAAAATAAAAATTTCAAAACGATTATTTTATATCGAAAAATAAAAATCATAAAATAACGATTATTTTTGATCGACAAAATTACCTTCGATCGAAAAAATAAAACCGATTATTTTTGACCAAAAATATAAGGATTATTTTTTATCGAGAAAATAAAAATTAAAAAGTAACAATACTTTTTGATCGAGAACATAAAAATCATAAACTAACGGTTAAATTTAATCGCATAAACAGGAATCCATTTTTAACGGAAAAACAATGATTTTTATTATAAAGATCGTAACCGCGACTATACCTGGGTGTAAGTGTACCAACCAAAAAAATTTACCAAAAACGGTACATTTCGGGCAAAATGGCAACCACCGCGCCTATGCCTTATTTTGAGCGTTTTATTTTCTGCTCTTCTCACTTTTATTCTGTGGGCTTGGCAAGTGTGTGGTCTACATTTTTTGATTCGTTTACTTAATTTTTCACTTCACTCCAACTAGTCACAAGGGTATATGTGTGCTCGTTTCTAGCTACATAGCAAAAATTAATTTGAAATTAGTTCTTGCACCCAAAAAGTTAATTCAGTTCAGACTTCAAAAGTACGCAGGACACAAGAAAATTCAATGAACGAAATTCATACATATGTAGTATCAAAGGTAACTATTTTACAAGCCCTTGAAGAAGTTCGTATGGTTAGGACGACCTTTGTAGAGCTACATATATACAGTGGTCCACAAAATAATAGGAGTGCGTTATTTTGGTCAGTTTTTGCTATTTGTCTTTTGTTTATTTAATGTTTATTATTTTTATACAAAAGTCAAGCTGGGTATACAACAAACAACGAATAAATTCAGATTTCAACCTTTGTACAAAAATTATTAAAATTCTGTAAATTTTCACCAAAATATCAAACTTTTTAATCAGAATCTTCAGAGAAAATTCTGGTATGCAGTTTTATAGCCCATTCAATTCTAGTCTGAAGAAGTGCAAGTTTCAAGCTGCTAAAAAATTCCGTTGATTTTTGGCAATTTTTTTTGCTGGCACTGTCCCCATATAAAAGAAAATTGTCGAACATACTTTGTATGGAAAAAACGTGAAACACCTTCAACCGAAAAAATTCTCAAAAATCAACGGAATTTTTTAGCAGCTTGAAACTTGCACTTCTTCAGACTAGAATTGAATGGGCTACAAAACTGCATACCAACATATTTTCTAAAGATTCTGGTTAAATAGTTTGAAATTTTGGTGAAAATTTGCAGAATTTTTATAATTTTTGTACAAACTTGAAAATGTAAATTTATATGGTGTTTGTTGTATTACCAGCTAGGCTTTTACAAAAAAATACGAAACATTAAATAAACTAAAGACAAATAGCCAAAACAGGTTAAAATATCCCACTCCTATTATTTTGTGGACAACTGTATATATATTTTTTTTTGAGGTAATATCTATTGTACTTATTTCCCAGCAACTGTTTCGGCACATTATACGAGTATTATTGCAGCCGTCCTGGGTATTCAATGATTGTCTTAATTCAATTAAACGACTATGGTGATGTTTTGTTTTAGGGGAAGAAGTTTCGAAAACCTAACTCGAGATCAGTAAGTGTGGGACTTCTTTATGCCAAAATAAAGCTCCCCGGTACCGTCGTTAATTATATCGTCGGCAGGCGGTTGGAGTAATAAGCTCTGCATTCTTTACTGTTAAATTTATTCCATCCAGTTTGCCCTGATTTGACATGTTATTCAATATACCCACTTGTACCACTAATGGTGATTTCGTCCCTACCAAAAAATGTCGCCTTTTTTCGTGTTCGATTCTAAACTAAGGGCAATGGGTGAAACAATTTTGTGTTCTTTTCTTAAAATGTCACACTCTTGTAAGGCAAAAAAGGCACCTTTTCTGCCCTTTGAAGCTTTGTCAGGGGAGACGGTTGCCCTGAAAAGATGGTTGCTTAAAACGATGATATGATGAAATGCGTGAGCTGGACAAGGACAGGAAGGCAAAAATATGCCTTTTCAAAGGGTTGAGTGTAACATCAAGCACATTTTGCACCGTTCAATGGCAACATTTTTTGGTAGGAACGAAATCACCTTAAGAAGTTCGTTTCAAAAACGAGCACATATCGTAATTTTCTGCCGCTTATACGCCGCCGAGACTATTAGGGCGTTGAACCGGTGACTTGAAAAGAGCTAGTAGTGAATCAATTTGCACGGAGCAATAATAATAGCTTATTTCTCTGTTCAAAACGATGGGGATATGCTTTTAACCTCGCATGTCCGCTAATCTACCTTTCCGTGCTGGCTATTGTCCTATGCGTCCATGTTGTTGGGAAATGGACGCTGCTTCTACATATTGTCTCATCTCGTTTGCCATTGGGGTATGCTGCCTTGCTCGTCTGTGGCAAATTTCAGTACTGTCGTGCTTAGTTTTATAGTTTCCAACATAGCCGGAAGAGCTAGGGGTTCAAGTACATAGTCGATTTGTAAAATAGGAGCCCTTATAATACGAACAGCATCTAAACTGATGCCCCGACCTGCCAATAATTGCCTTCCGTCTGGACAATACCTACATATGCCACTACTGCAGTCTTTTTATGGACATAATTAAGATGGTCGCAGAAGCAGAGGCGATAGTCTACCACTACCCCAAGGTACTATTAAACGAACGGCTTCCGGTTTGTAAGTTGCATGTGTGGGGGGACTTTGCACGTACATAGCTTTTCTTGTGTCACTGTAATAGAAATTTTGCACTATTGCTCCTATTTTGGTTGGTATTTTCCCTTTTGTCCATGATTGAGATGACGTACGTAAAGCCAATGTTATAGTGCTTATATTCCTTTAAAGTAGATACACTCCGTTTCTAATAATATTCCATTTGCTACCATTTTGGCAGCCCTGTCCTGTCGGTCCTTGCTCAGCGGTATATTAAAATAGACAACGAATGCCATAAGGGTTAAAGTCCCAACTCGTTTGAACTGTTAAAAATTATATAATACCTTTAGAAGTATTCCACAAAGGCCACCACCTTACAACTAAACAGAAAAAGTTGGACGTAGACCCTGACTGTAAAGCATTTTTGCAATACAATTTGGAATTTTTTATTTTTTTCGGCCGAATCACTTTTTTTCGGTGACACCCACATTCAGTAATAATTATTTTTTAAATAGTTTTTAAATAGTTCGAAACTGAGATCTCATGAGTAATTACGTTCCGAATTTATTCTTCCAATCGAAATACTTCCTTAGCAAAATTAAATGATTTTTGGCGATCTTTTATTTACTGACATTAAGGTAACATGTAAGGGTGGTAGGATCTGAGATGTGGTGAGAAACTACTAAAACAAAATTGTCTTCTTGAGACAAGAACATCGATATATCGGACGTTAAGATCCGTCTGTCCAACTGTCTAAGATATGATGAAAAATGTATTTTGTTTTTTTTCAAAATTGCCTTGCAAAAATACTTTAGAGTAAGGAACGTATGGCGAACTTTTTTTTTTGGTACGATCTAATGTAAATTCATATGTATATTAGGGTGCATCACAATCCATTCAAGAAAAAAAAAAATCGGTACTGTTTTGTCATGGGAATTATAAAATTTTTATATTTTAAGACTTCCGCCAAAATATTTTGGAAAAATATTAAGATTTACGTAAGCTGGACCCATTTTAAAATACCTAAAAAATCTAGTTTTTGTGAAAAAAATTGCTTTTTAAAAATATTTTTTTTTCTAAAAATCCCTTCAGATGATAGTAAAGTTTAAGATTGAAAGGTCCGCGTAAAATTTTTTTTTAACATTTGATCAAAGGATGTACAATAATTTTTTGAGGTATTTTCAAACCCGTCTAGCTCACGTAAATCCTATTATTTATATGAAATATTTAAAAATTTATAGTTCCGGTCGAAAACCCGCATGTACATATCTCTTTTGAATATGTGACTCACATAGTTATTTTTTTTCATCTAAATGCTGAATATCCCGCTTAACTTACCTATATACTTTTGCACCACATAGCGACTCTTTGAACCGATTGACGGATTTACAAGCACCAATATTTTCTTCAAATTATCCATTAATTGTATGCCACGCCCACGACACTTATTCGCTGGTTTAACAATCCATAAATTCTGGTAGCCATCTAGCGTATACTGCGGCCAATAGCTTTGTAAATTTTCCAAAAGTTGTATACTCGCTTTCATTGTATACTCTGGCGCGCGCGTTGGTTCGGTAAAAATTTTCGCCTCCTCTATAACGACCTGCTGATGCTGATGAAAAAACACATCCCACTCATGTTCCCACACGCGTGACAAATCCTCCAAATCAATATCCTTATGCTGACAACTATCTAAGTAATCACCACAGCGTTTGAGCGCAAAATCAATGCTGTTGTATGGCACCGTGCCCATGGTGGAGAAGATCGCATCGAGTCCCTTTCGGCGGTAACGATCAACTACGATGCGTACGAATGCAATGCAAGCGGTAAGCTTGAAATTATCCATGAATTCGGCCAACTCTTCGAGACTCCAAACGTTGTAACAACGCGGAAAGTATAGCTCAGACATGCCCTCCTCGTAAAACCAATGGAAGTCCTTCAACTGCGCGCATAAACCCTCCTTCGAGGTGAATGGCGCGCGATGGAATTTATTTATAATCATACCGGGATTTTTAGCTTGGTCTATATAATCGCATTTCTCCTTACGATTAGTCCACAAAAAGTCGATGGGCATATGTTCGAGAAAGCGCGACATAATGTTGCGTTCACACTTGCCAATATACTGGCGTCGCGTCTCGCCCGGCTTGCGTTTAGGCAGGCCCTGTGCCAAATCATCGTAAGTCACTTGACAGACGCCTGTTGGAATTTGTTTGCGATGCACATCCAACTTTTCAATCCAACCGCGTGTTACGAGCGCATTGCGTACGGAATGGAATGAGCCGCGTATAGTAAAGGTTTTATTATGTTTGACCGCCTCCTGTGCGCGACGACGTAACTCATTTAGGCGATCGGTTGTGATCCAAGTGCGTCGGTTGCAATAATTGCTTGGCGGTGCGCTTGGTATTATCTCTCTGCCCGTCGCAGTGGTGATTGTGGCAGTTGTAGGTTTCGTAGCCGTTGTAGATGTTGCCGTAATGGTAGTGTGGCTGTTTGCTGGATTTATTTTCGTTGCTGATTCCGTGGCGCTTGTCTGTGCATTCGCCGTAACTCCATTTGTTACGACTTGAATGGCAGATGCAGATTCTGCTTCTTCGTTTGCAAGTGTTGGCCTGGTTGGCGGCAGCTTCGTTGACGCACTTTTCAATTTTCCATCTGTCGGCAATTGCTTGTCACCGCTAGTTCTTGATCTCTTGCGCGTTTCTGTTGCATTTTCTGTGGTATTTTCACATGGTTTCTCATGCATTTCCCAATCACGCCTGCCTATATGTAGTAAGCCAACCAACCAACCATCCAACCAAGACCGCAATGCCGTGAACGCGTTGCGCGCACAATGAAAATCGATGACTGACTACTAAATTACGGGATTTTTATCGGAATGAATTGAACTCGGCGGCGTACGCTGTCAGACTTAACGGACGTGCTCATGGTATGCGCATAATGTACAGCAAGTTGTCTACTTGTTGCCATGGCTTCCGCTACCAATCAGGTGGCTTAAGTTTATTAGAGCAACGATTTAATATAATTTGAAACGGAGTCTACTGTCTGCTGTAGGCGGGCAAAAGTATGCGCAGTAAATCCATAGTTGAGTACGAGCGCGCGGAGTGAAAGAGGAATGCGGCTAGTACGTCAAATTGCGAAAGTCGAGTTGGCAACCTAGTTTTCGAGGTTCGCAAGGATTTACTCACTCAGTGGGTATTGCATAGTTTTGCATAAGTTCAACGTGGTATATATGTATTTGTGTATCTTCTTGATTTTGGTGCTTGATTAAATCAATTTCGTGCCACTGCTGCGTTTGCCGCACAATTTTCAGGTGAAGGTAGCTGGTTGCGTTATAAAATTTATTTTCTTTTTTATTATTTAAAAAGTTTTTCTTTTGCATAGCTTAAACTAGTTAAAATGATATAATCAAATTAGCAATTATTATTTTATCGTGATATGATCTAGATTTATAGTTGGCAAAAGTTGAAGTTATGGGCCATGCACAAAAATGTGCTAATTGCTTGATTTTAAGTAAGATTTCGTGCGCTGAAATACTTAATAAATGCAGTGAAAAGTTTTTCGAATACCTTAAATTTAGTTCATGTAAAGTTTTTGTATTCATGCATTATTGTACAGGGTGGTCCATATATCAATTTTTCTCGGTATATCATTGGTTTATTCGAAATAGCAAACATTCCCATTATTTATGGAACACGAAGAGATGCCGCAGTTATGCTTGTTAACATAGCCGACGTGCTGCTCGAGTTTGCTTTATTTCCGAACTTTGTTCAAGAGTAAATCGATTTATTTCGTTCCGCGAAGATATCATACTGGCTTTCTGTCAAGATTGCCAGCGGTAAATAGCTGCCAGTGTCAAAATAACATATGATTAAAAAAATACCACTTTATGAACCGCCATTTATACATACTCTTATAATGCGCTGGCAAAGATCTTATTATCTAAGTGATATTTATTAAATTCCATGTAGGTCATAAAACAACCATTGACATCACTATTGAAAATCGTATTAGTTCAGGATGGGTTCGTTGGTTTCGGCTCCATTTAATAAGTTTAGGTGTGGTTAGAATGGTCAAAGACTATGCTAGATCGTGCGAATAAAATCCTCTGAATGACCTCCTCTCATGTTGCAGCCTGCGCATTGGACCACTGGACCAGACAACTAAGGTCTGGATACTATAGCAGACTGAACTCATACTTATCCAGACTTAACTCCGAACGTACCAAGCACATACACGGCTCGTGAAGGTTCCCCATATGACGCCAAGCACCTCAAACCCACACAGATAACACTCCTCTCCCGTGGTTCTACCCCGTCGAAACAGCACGTTTCTTCGGCCTATCGTTAGTTGAGCTTGACGACAACTATTGATAGACTAGCCGATTTGAGCAGGGCTTAGCAGTGCCGATACAACAACGACAACAACATGTGTGAGCAAATATTTACTACTATGTTAAGAGGTGCGTCGAGGGACAAGAGAGACCTGGATGATACAAGAGACGCTGCCTGCCATACGGAGCTCTTGTGTCGGGGCTAGTAACTGGCGCTCCTTGAACCAGTGTCTCCCCTACACCTGAGGTTGGTGTGATAACATGGCTGAACTTGGATGTGTCTTCGAAATACGTCAGCATTAAGTTTGTATTGTAAATTCGGTTAAGTTTAATTCCAAAGCATGTTCTCATAAGATTCTGCGATAATAGAAGACGACAGTACACTTGAACCAAGATAATGAACTCATGTAAACAAAATGAACAACAAACACAGTAGATAAGCATTAAGCCCCTTTATTGGAAAGGAAAAAAATCTTTCGACAGTTGGGGAAACAGCCCGTAAAAAAACTATCCTTGAGGTGGCGGAAAGCCGGAAAACACGCCATGTCAAAATTATAAGCGCACCATAAATTGACAAGTTTTAACAATTTTTTGTGTATGTAATTTGAATTACTATTTTTTATATAAATATAGTTTATGCTTTAACTAAAATCTTGAAAATCCCAGATGCAAACTTTGTGCAATATTTAGAAAAAAAAAATCGATAAGCTTGGTAAAAATTTCAAGCTTTTCAGCTAGATTCCCTAGGAAGACAGGACTTACCGTTGATTTTTGGCATTTATTTTTTATTTTTTGTTTAGGGTATGATTGCTCATTTTCTTCCATATAAAAAACATACATACAATCTTTGTATGTATGAAAACGCACAACACCGCCAGCAAACAAATGCCAAAAATCAACGATATACTCCCCAGTTACTTAAAATTTACACTCTGTTATAAAAATTTAATGGCCTATTAAACTGCATACTCAAAATCTTTCGAAGATATCGATTTAAAAATATAATTAAAATTAAGTAAAAACATAAATAAATTGTTAAAAGTTGTCAATTTGTGCTGCGCTCATAACTTTGACACGAAGTGTACTAAAGCCTCAAAAGAATGTAGTTTCAATAAACAACTTTTGACGGATAATACAATTTTTTTTTGAAGTTTCATAAATTGTGAGAAAATATTCCTATGAATACTTTGTGATGTGACCATAATGGATTGGGACTTTATATCAAATACTATCGTTTGAGATTGGTTTGGATAACCCCTTAATTCATTAAAAATTTAAGCAAAAATAATTTCTAAGTTTATTTGAAACCCTTCGATGCACTACTTACATTGTGGTTGTTCACGCTTGCCTCGTTATCAGGTTATCTGGTTAAAAATAATTTTTCTGTAGTGCATTTTACTGTTGTACAAATGCATAAAAATTAGGTCATAATTTCAAATTTCAGAAGAGAAAGTTCATTCTGTTCAGATGAAATATTTATTCGATGCGTATTTGTTGTGCAATAAATTATTAAGAATGTGTTACTAAATATTTGATAATTACTTCTCATAAATACAGATGTGTGTGTGTGTATCTAAATTTGTGTATTCACGGCTGTGGTTTACATACATAATTGATACCAACTAACGGAGGGTTAACGAGAAACTAAGTGGACACATAAAAATAGCATCAATAAAATATTTGAACATAATTCTTGGAAACAAATTTTTGAAATTGTGATTTACTCAGGCACATTTTTTCTCCTAAAGTGTTTACATCATTTCCATGCAAACGAACTTAGCAATCAAATGCCTAAATTAAAGATGACATTTAATGTTGTCCAATGTATTGAATAGAAAGTGTTTTAATTTTGTGAGTCTTTCCCCATTCGTGGGACTACTACTGATACTAAACATATTAGAGCGTTAAAATCCAACTAGTGGAATCCCCATGGCATTAAAACACCAAAATTGAATTTAAAATTTTAAAACATTGACAACCCTCTTTAAAAACCTAAAAAAAAAACATAAATGTAACCATATTCGTCTAAGTTCTGTTATAATTCATGATTGAATAGCGCGATAAAATAATAACAGTGCTGCTTGTGTTCTGTGGAAATCTGACACAGGGCAACCCTGATTTTGGTGCGGCAAATGTTAACGTTGTTATACCCGAGCGCACTTGTGCACAAGGGTATATTAATTTTGTTCACATAACGGTTGTTTGTAACAGCCAAAACGAATCGAGATAGATATAGACAAATGTATACATAAATGATCAGGATGCAAAAAGAAATCGAATAAGCCATGTTTGTCTGTCCGTCCGTCTGTCCGTCTGTCCGCCGTCCGTGTACACGATAACTCGAGCAAAAATTGAGATATCTCAGCGAAA